CCCCCGTTTCTCTCCACTTTCCTGGCCATTCTAATGGAATCCCTTTCAGAACTGTTGGTTGTGGTAGCCAGGAAACAGCTGGTTCTGGTCTCAGGGTGGTGGAGCCTGAGGTTCATGTGACCCATTAGCCCTTTGGACTGTTTCTGCATTGCGTCTTTGACTAGGCTGGGAGAAACCAATAGTTGCTGCACCTTAGCTTGTCAGACTCCAGTCACTACTCACCAAAGTCGAGTAGAGACCATGGTCATTGTAGATTATGGTCACTTACCATATATACTCGTGTATAAACCGAGTTTTTTAGCACATTTTAAATGCCATTTTTCGGGTAAAATTAGGTGCCTCAGTTGATCTCAGGTCGGCTTATACTTGAGTATATATAGTATATTTGTTAGCTATCTTAGTAGATTTGTTCATTTGATTTCTGGAATTATTCAAATAAAATTATACAAATATGCTATTAGTGTATTTGATCATGTAAGTGTAAATACTCAGGCAACTATTTTTTATAGTTCTATTTTCCCTTGTAATATTTTGAAACAATGCAAAATATTAGCTGTTTGAAGACTTTATTTGGTTTTAAATAAATATTCATTCGTGTTGGCCCCTTCTAACCTTTGCTTTAACCAGGGCAGGAGAAAATTAAAAGGGGCATCTTGAAGAAGGGTTATAGTAATATTGATCTAGACTTGTATTAAAAAGTACTCAGAATTTGAGGTTTGCTTTTCTAATGATATTTCTTCCTAATGTCTGCACCAGCCTCACTAACATGACTGCATAATAATTGATAGTCTAGAAATAAGTAAAAATTAGATGAATCAGATCGAATCTACTAAATACACAGTTTTCTCACTATGCCAGTGTTTACAAAGATACTTTAGCAAATGTGAATTTGTTATGAAACTACTTTAAAATACTATCCACAGTAAGGTTAGAAAACATTGCTCTCAGCAGATGCAGCAGCTCATGTCTTTTTGTTGACTCCTCTTTTTAGGCTCCTATTTCGTAGTAAAGCCATTAATAAGAGAAAAATTCCTATGAAGAGGAGTTACATTATTGTATCATGTTATAAACTTGACAGGGGCTTCTAGTACCTACACTGTAATCATAGAGTACTCCAGAAGATTACTTAATTCTAGGCGAAGGGTAGAAATGGTTAAACTGAATATAATAAATTGTTGTGTAACTTGGAATTTAGTTTACTGGTTTGGCGGTACTTTCAGAATTACATTTTAAATTGGAGGTAGAAAGGGCAAGTACTAGGAAGAGCTTCCCATAGGTAGAGATCAAGGATAAGACTACTATGGTAATGAGATTGCCTACAGAACTTCCAGGATTATGAACAAAATATAGTTTTATGATTAATGTATTTTAAAATATAGTGATAATCCATGAATGATGCACATGGTAGTGTCAGGTTAGTTAGAATAATAAACTCATTTATTAAATGACAGTTTGATCCTTGGGTAATATGGAAAACTATTTACTTCTTTCCAAAATAACGTTATCTCAAGAGTTCTTTGGTTTATTAAAAGGACTTCCAGGAGGGGGCATGTATAGGTATTAAAGTAATTATGAAGAAAAAAGTTAATCATTGGTGCTAAGCAATTGCAGTGAGACTTGTGCCTAAGTCTAAAAAAAGGTAATCTGCTTAGGCTGTGCATGAGAACAGTTGGATGAACATGTCCCAATAACCGTTTCAAACATTTTAAGGATCCACTGTAGAGCTGCGCCAAAGGAAAAAACCCAAGTCTTCAGAAAATAAGGAATCTGCCAAAGAAGAGCAAATCAAAGACACTCCAATTCCTGAAAGAGCTCCCAAACGTAAGTTAGACCTGGCATTTTCTTGGTACCACAGAGATGGTTATGCTAGATAGGGTATTTTCTAATAACATTTCACATGTATATGCGTATTTTGGAATTAATAATGAAGTAGGTAAGGGTATCAGTCACTTTCCATTAGGTTTTGCTATAGAACACCCCTACATTTCCCTGGCTTACAACACATATTTTTGATTAACCTCACATAGTGGCCACACGTCCACCCCAGGGACTGTAGGTCAGCTGCTGTAACTTCACGTCCCCTCTGTCAATGGAGTAATGAAATAGTGTTAATTCCTCTAGTGTCAAACTCTGCCAATGTGTGAAGTGTCTGGTGTCTAAGGACTTGGAATCGATTGATATCAATCACTAACTAATAAGGCTAGTTTTCTATGCCTAAAC